AATTGATTTGTGTAAAAAAAAATTTTTTGAAAATTTGTTGATTTCCCTCTTTTCTGTAGCACTCCGCCCATATGTATTAAATCCATCAAAATTTTTAATCATTGTTAATAAAGTTTCTTCAGGATTTTCTAGTTGTTGCTCTAAATGCTGAAGAGTATAAAATTCATCTTCAGTAATAAAATCTGTTTCCAAATTATAGGCTTATTAGTAGTATTAGTATTTGTTTGGTCTATTTGTTGAAATTGATTAATATTTTTCTTAATGTGGTTTAAAATATTTTTGTTTTGAGAAATATGTAATCGGATACAAGAAAGTTTTGTTGCTCGATTATTTGTTAATCTATTATGTTTTAAAGTATGAATACCTGCTATTAATGACCAAAATTGTTCACTATCAGCAGATGTAGGTGGTATTGACATAAGTTGTGCTACAAATATTGCTAATTCTGGAACTTCATTGATAAAATTATTCCAGAAATAAACAGGATCCTTAACTAAATAATTATCCCAATTTCCTTCAAAATTAAATGGATAAGCTTTGTTGTTCTAGTCAATAAGTTGCATCCAAAATTTTAAAATATCTTTATCTGAAAATAATCAGCTAAATAAAGTACTAGCTTCTTTTTTAACAAAAGTTAAAAGTTCTAGACGAATAACTTTTGCTAAAAAATATTTTGGATATAATAACCAGCTAATTAAAAATACTGAATTATAAATCCTTTGCTAATGATATTTAATTCGAGATATAATATAATTTTGAAAGTCATCATAAATTGTATAAGAAATTTTTTGCATTTGACATCATAAATAAACTGCATTAGCAATTGTTGCATATTGAGATTCTAAAATAATAGGTACAAGAGAATATAATTTCAAAATTTGAATATTATTAGACATTGTGACTGTTAAATCTTGACTTGAAATTGGTGTAATTAAAGTAGAATCGATTGATATATCCAATGATGATCGTAAAAATTCTAAACTTTTTTGTATATTGTTTTGCTGATTTTGAAATTCTTGTGCTTTAATAAGATAGATTTGAACATTTAAAGGAATTTTTGTATACTTTTTAATATGTGCACCCATTATAGTAGCAGTTCCAGATATAGAATTTTCATGTTTACAAAAAATGCATGTGGCTTTAGTTTTTTTATCAACTTTAATAGAATTAAATGCTTGCCAAAGAGGGCCTAAAGGATGACCACTACATTGACTTGGAAATATACAAAGTAAGTGTTGAATTTCTGGACTAGGAGCAGGCCAATTTAGCATGGTAAGAATTGTTACAAGAAAAAAAAATTTTCAAAAAAAAATTTAAATTTGTTTTATAATTATTAAGTATATA